TTGTTAATCGGATCATGAAAAAAATGCATGTGCATATGTCCCATATAATGTGTGATGTATGAGTGAAGTTTGAACTTAATCGGTCCATGCATGTTTGAGATACAGGTGATCACGGACGCACGCACACACGGCAAAACTACGACTAAGTCCGAACGGGGACTAATCAGTGCAAAATTAAACCATCCCTTTATATGGCCTAGTTCTGAAATGTTTTTTATGAAGGCCTTTAATTCACTTATGAATGAATGGGACAGTATTTTATTGGTCACCTTTTAATCTCACAAATGATTCAAAATTAAAATTTTAGTGAAAAATTTCCTACAAATAACTGGTCACAAACACAACACACTATAAGATGACACCCCCCTCCAAAGAATAGACTTTATAAGGTCATGTACTTTTTTCAGTGGCCTAGTTTTTATTCAACTGAGGTCATTATGTATACAGTATACATACATTTTGGATACATGTAGGTCACATCTACTGTAACTGTAAACACTACTCCAAGCGCTGCATAATTGTGGATTTATGAACAAACGAGAGAAGATATTTAAGGTATATTTTGTGAATTTACTACAGTATAAGATTCAATTTTAAATTGTGTAATATAGTGATGTGACATGTCATGGTTGTCAGAAAATGTGTATCAATGAGTCTCAAGGTTACTGATTGTTGACTATATATAGTCCCGATGTGTTCACGATTTATATAATTTGTTGCTGTGCCCCCCCCCCCCCCGAGGAGAAGTACTGAACATGAACTGAGAGAGAAATATAGTCCTGTTAATGTTTATAGTGCACACTTTCCTTCAGAAGGTTGGGACAAAGATAGCCAAATTTTTTTATTAAAACCTAAAAATTGGGTCAAATTTTGTCTGTTGGCTCCAAAATTAGGGTTCATTTCCTGAAATATTGACAAATATAAGGAACAAGCAGCCACTCAACTGGGATACTAGGAGCTTCGCTGTAATAGCAATACGCATTCCAAATAAAAAATTTAAGAAATCATCTCGGAATGAGGTATCTATATGATTAAAAAAAATATCACCTTTTACCAAAAATGACAAAAATATTCACCAAAATTAGAAAATTAAAGATACACATGTACATGTATCTTCATGAAATGAACAAATCTAAGAGAGATCTACTCAAGGTACATATACACTAGGTATCAAAGCCATCAGACTTGTAGTTTTTAAGAAGAAGTTGAAATTAAAGCTGCAAGCGACATCAGCTAACAGGATTCTGTTTCACAATGAGGTAACTGAATGGCCATTAGGGTAGTTTAAATGATCAGTACCATGTGGTCGAAATGAAGTTGGTTCCATATATTTACCTGGTTTGGTTATGGGGATATGGTTTTCAGAATATATAATGAGCCATGTGCTTATGCATATTAATGAGGTTACATGATCATATATGGTAATCTCTTATCTAAGTTACATCCTTTGTTTGATGTCTTCATTATCACATTGGTTGCATGTCCTGCTCTGCAACAGTGTTTCAGATATGACAGGTATGCATATTAATGAGTTCACTTGACCATATATGGTCATCTGGTATTTTAGTTAGATTTCTTGTTTAACATCATCATAATAACAAAGGTTTCATACATGTATTCCTAAATGCAACAGTGCTTGAAATATAACAGTTATGCATATTAATGAGGTTAGAAGCCCCCCACCCCCACCCCATGGGTGCCCAGTCACATGACCTAACCATGTGCCATTTGAATTCACCCTGTTCAGCCCCAAGAAACAGTTCCGGACACAATACAGACTGTGATTTTAAGATATTAAACAAAATGGCCGCCATTTCGACAAATTTGATCAAATCTCAAAACAAAACATGGTGGTGTTGTGTTATCTTGAAGTATAGTAACTGAATCAGGCCATATCTTATGGAGGAATCAGCACGAAAACAGAAAAAAACAAAATGGCCACCAGTTGGCCATCTTGGACCGAATCTCGAAAAAAAAGTTACGTGCACCTATAACCCAATATGCATGATCACCATACAATCTTTGATTGAAATCACCCTGTTCAGCTCCGAGAAACAGTTCCGGACACGTTTAAATATGCACGAAGAACGATGTTAGGAAATAATATCTACTACTGTAAAATACTTTATTTTCGCTTGGAATTAATTTTCACTGTAGGAATGATTCAGTGAAAATAAAATCCAGCGAATATACCTTTTCCCTATAATTTTACATTCAACTCGCCAAAAAATAAATACCACACAAAACACCCCAAAAGTCTATTCAGCCAAAAATTAATTCCAGCTAAAATAAAGTATTTTACAGTAGTAGATTTATTTCCTAACATCATGCATTGTGCTATAGAATATAAGTTATTGTGGCTATCACATTAGCCATTTCAAATTTCAGTTAGTAATTCAGTCTACATGAACATGAGTACCAAATTGTGCACAGCTTTAGCGATTGCAAGAATATCCTTTTTATAGTTGGAAGATAAAATGACAAATTTATGAAGAAAGTCTTTGAGCTGCGACACCATCATTCTATCAACGTCAGCCATGGTTGAAAACGTGAAACAGACGCACGAAATCACTCGGAAATTTAACGCACGGCACTAGACACACTCCCGATTTAGTGTCATTTGAATCAAAGCTTGGCCTGTATCATGCGACTAGCAACAGGTTGCTAAGCAAATTTAACAGTCTCGTGAGATCTTGCACGAAGCGGAAAATAAGTTATTGCCCTGACTGAGGCAGTCAAGTTTGACCCACAATACACGGTTACCAGGCAATGTAAACCCTGAACACTTCCACCTAGGGCATTATGAGGCAAGTATGGAGCTAATCCAGGGTCATTGATACTCACAGAGGCCCCAGAAGCTTAGAGGTAATTCGGGTTACTACTAAATAAACGTAAATAACACCTGGTATAACATCCGCCAAGATCAGGACAGTGCCTCGATTCGTTCGTTCATGCACGCTGATGTTTCAGGAAAATATAGGAAAATCATTAAAAATAAAAACGGGGGTGGATCGAGGAATGGGGTAGGGGTGATCACGGTTAGCCAAGGGGGTCGGCACTCAGTAACTTCAGACATTTTTCCTTGTCTCCACATATCCTGAGGTGCATGCACTCTCGACCACTGCGCTCTCAAACACAGGGGCCTGATGATCTACTCGCGTCAATACATGGACGTCTATGGGGCAGAGCAATTATCATGTCCCAGATACTGATGTTTATGTTCTCATGCCACTAATCAACCAATGGCCGCTCGTAGCCCAATTTTTATGCCTTGCAAGAACCAATGACATTTTTTAAATATTTTTTTCTCAGGTGCTCCCTGTTTGAGGGCGCGATCACCTGGGTCAAAGGTGAGACCAACATGTGGTCTTTTGTTTACTACTTAGCGGCTGTGTACCTGTGGGTTTATTCTGTGTGAATTTGGATGTTCTAATCTTAGTGTTTTTCCAGTGATTTCTCTAGGTGCACTCCCAATACAGTAGGTGTGTCTTGTTTATCTGAGATTTGCAAGAGTCTGAGCTGGCCAACATGTTAGTTAGTTATGTGGTTGATTACTGGCATGTTGATTTCCAATTTTTGAGCCATGTTTTCAACTTTGTTTATCATTTTCATATAGTAATCTCGTCATATGTTAACATTGTCGTCTGTGGAGTTTCAATTAGTGGTACGAGCCCTGAAATGTCAATCGGCACATGCGTGGAGCGCCCTCAATCAACAGGACTGCAAATGTTGTCTACTTGAGGGCGCTCTACGCATGCGCAGTGGTATCTGGTATCACAAGAAACAGAAATCGTTAAAATTCATCATAAATGCGTGAAATCTGGAAAAATATATGATATATATGTAATCGGACGACATTTTGCAATAGCCCAGTATCTTATAAGCACTCATAACTGGTTTGGACAAGGTTTATTAAGGTATGATTTTCGGCAGCTAAAAAAATGTGTGCATATTTTGTTTCCACCCTTGTCACAGGGAGCCCAGGAACTATAATCAACTATCAACTGTAGTACGCAGT